TCCCACTTTATCATGGTACATGATTTTTTGATATGTTTTTGTATTCAATTTGCCAGACTTTTATTGAGAATTTTTGCATCTATGTTCATTAGAGATATTGGTCTGAAGTTTTCTTTCTTTGATATATCTTTGCCTGGTTTTGGTATCAGGGTGATATTGGCCTCATAGAATGAGTTTGGAGGTGCTCCCTCTTTTTCTATTTCCTGAAATAAATTTGAAGACTATAGGTATTAGTTCTTCTTTAAAGGTCTTGTAGAACTCAGCTGTGTATCCATCTGGACTTGGGCTTCTGATGGTGTCTTCTATTTCATTGCTTGAAAATTATCTGTTTAAATTGTGCATATCATCCTGATTCAATTTGGGCAAATAATATGACTCTAGAAATTTGTCAATGGCTTTGATATTTTATATTTCATTGGAATACAAGTTTTCAAAATAATATCTAATTATATTCTGTATTTCTGTGGTGTCTGTTATGATATTTCCTTTTTTATTATATGGGTTAGTAATTTGAGTTTTCTTCTATCTCTTTGTTATCATGGCTAAAAATTGTCAATTTTATTTTATTTTCCAAAAAACCAATTTTGTGTTTTCTCATTTTTTTTAGTTGTTTCTTTTGTTTCAATTTCATTGATTTCAGCTCTGATATTAATTTTTTTCTATCTTCTACTGCTTTTGGTATTGATTTATTCTTCTTTTTCTAGAGCTTTGAGATGTAATGTTAGGTCATTTATTTGACTTTTTCTTCTTTTAAGGAATGAACTGCATGCAATGAAGTTTCCTCTTAGTATTGCCTTCATAGTGTCCAGAAATTTTGATGTTTTATCAGTGTTCTCTTTCACCTCTAAGAATTTTTTAGTCTCCTCCTTGATGTCTTTTGCAACTCATTTTTCATTCAGTCGAATTGTATTTAGTCTCCAGGTATTGGAGTAACTTTTATTTTTAATTTTATCATTGGTTTCTAATTTCATTCCATTATGAAATGATAGAACACAGGGTTGTATCTCTACTTTTTTGTATTTGTTAAGAGTTGCTTTGTGGCATAATATATTATCTATTTTAGAGAAAGATCCATGAGCTGCTGAGAAGAAAATTTATTCACTTGTTGAAGGATGAAATATATATAATCAGTGAAGTTGAAGTTATTGATTGTATTACTGAGTTATATAGTTTCTTTGTTTAGCTTTTGTTTGGAGGATCTATCCAGTAATGAAAGAGGTGTGTTAAATAAAGTCACCCAGAATTATTGGATTGTGGATAACTTTACTCTTGAACTTGAGAAGAGTTTGCTTGATGAATGTAGATGGTAAATTGTTTGAGGAAATATATTTATAATTGTTATGTCTTTTTGGTGTATTGTTCCCTTGAACAGTGTGAAATGTCTTTCTTTATCCTTTTAACTTTAGCTTAAAGTCTACTTTATTTGATATGAGGATGGAAACCCCTGCTTGTTTCCATAGTCCCTGTAAGTGGTATTTTTCCAAACATTTCACCTTCAGACTGTAGCTGTCTTTTCCTATAAGAAGAGTCTCTTGGAAGCAGCATATTGTTGCCCCTTTTTTATTTATTTTTTATCAAATCAAGTAGCCTATGTCTTTTGATTGGTGAATTTAGGCCATTAACATTCAGGGTTTTTATTGAGACATAATTTATATTCCCAGTTATTTTTGTTTATTTTTTGTTATTTAACTTGACTTGGTTTCTCCTTTGATTAGTTTTTCCTTTAGTGTAATGCCTCCCTCTGCTGATTTTTATTGTTGTTTTTTTTTATTTCCTCTTGATAGAATATTTTGCCAAGATTGTTCTGTAGTGCAGGTTTTCTAGCTGTAAATTCTTTTACCTTTTGTTTATCATGTAAGATTTTTGTTTCATCATCAAATCTAAAGCTTAGTTTTGGTGGATGTAAGATTCTTGTTTGGCATTCTTTTTCTTTCAAAGCTTGATATATGTTGTTCCAGGATCATCTAGCTTACAGGGTCTGGATTGAAAAATCTGCACAATACCTAACTGATTTCCCCCTATATGTAATCTGATTCCTTTTTCTTGTGGCTTTTAATATTTTTTCCTTATTCTATATGTTAGGTATTTTCATTATAATGTGAATTGGCGTGGATCTGTTGTAATTTTGTACATTTGGCATACTGTAAGCCTTTTGATTTTGTTTTCCAATTTGTCCTTCATGTTTGGAAATTTTTCTGATATTATTTCATTGAATAGATTGTTTATCCCTTTGGTTTGGAACTCCATGCCTCCCTCTATCCCAATAACTCTAAAATTTGGTATTTTATGCTATCCCATATTTTTTAATATTCTGCTCATGGTTTCTTACCATTTTCACTGTGTGATCTATATTCTTTTCAAAATTATATATTTTGTCTTCATTGTCTAAGGTCCTGTCTTCCAAGTGATCTAATCTGTTAGTGATATTTTAATTGAATGTTTAATTTGGTTTATTATTTCTTTAATTTCGAGAATTAATGTTTGGTTTTTCTTTAGGACCTCTATCTTCCTGTTGAAGAAATCTTTTGCTTTCTGTATTTGCTTATATAGCCCTCTGTTGAAATGATATTTTGCTGCCTTTAGTTGATCATCCTTTAATTCACAGAACATTATGAACTCCTTCTCTGTAATTTCTTCTGCTGTGCTGGCCATGTATTCTAATACTGTGGTATCTTGGTTTGTTTGAGGTACTTTCTTCCCTTGTCCTTTCATGTTGCTTGTGTGTCTTCTCTTCTAGCACTGTGGATCCAAGGTGTTGCCCTTTTTATCCTATAATGCCCCTGTAGGGTTCCAATATCTCTCCTTTGAGGGGTAGAACAATGTTAACAGATCCCAATATGAACGATATACCACCTAAAAGCAAATAGTTGTTAATTGATGTTTACAGTTTGGTCACAATCTATAGAAATGTTGTATTCAATTATTATCTACAATATAATCAGTAGCCTTGTAAAAGTGCACAGTTTCTGATGGTGGACAAAGAACTGTGAGTGAGGTATAGGAAGATATGCTGAGGATGTAGGAGGTGAGAATATAGTGTTATTATATCTTAGGAAGTGTGAAAGACAAATTTAAAGAAGAAGGTTAGTAGGCAAATAGAGAGGAAGTAATTTTGGGCAGACAAATAAGTGGGAAGACAGTAGAATACATAAAACAAACATACATATATATTAAGAAAAATAGAAAATGTAAAAGTAGTAAAAATTAGAGAAAAAGAAGGAAAAAAACAAGAAAAAATAAAAGTATATATGCAACACAACTGTAATATACTGTTCAGCTGTCTCAGTCCTCAATACCTTAATTCATGCAAAGTACTTGGTTTCACATATATTGGAGATGCAAGGGTGGGAGAATCGAGAGGGAGAAGAAAGAAAAAATATCTCCAAGGAAGAAACAAGCATTGTTTTGGTTGGAGATCAGTATCTTTCTGCTTCCCTTCTCTTCCAGTAGGTGGGGTCATCTGTTGTTAGCTAGTATCTCCACCCTCAGGATGGTGAAGGTAACCAGGGATGGAGCGTTGGTCCTGGATGGAGGGCACCTGGAAGTGGGGTATGGGACCCACCAGTCCCTGAAGGGAGACTGCATTTCAGGGATCTCTTTTTGAGCCTGCTCCTGTGATGTGAGTGCATGGTCTTATCTCCTTATCTTGCCTGAAGACCTCCCAGTTCCTGGTCTCTGTGTTAGTCTCTAAACTCACCCTTCCCTTACTGCTTCCTAATAAGGGACCTTACTCTCTAGGGCTCTTATGTGTGGCGCTATGGGTGCACTGCACATCTGCCCCCACTGAGATCTATTTTTTTTTGTTGAGCAGTCACTGTGCAGGGGTACAGGCTGCTGGGGAGAGCTGGAAGTTAGAAACTGGGTACCTGGCCAGCCGGAGTTCCAAACTGGGAGTTGCTTTCACTAAAGATGGTAATGAAGGTGACCCAAGAAGGAGGCATTTGTTTTTAGTGATGGGGTGTTGGGTCAGGTGGGGGGAGCCAGGCAATGGCATTGGACGATGAGTTCAGCGCCTAGGTCTGTGGCATGCAACATGTGGCATGCAACATGAGCCTGGGTCAAGTTCCCCAGTGCAGGCAGGCTATGGTGCTATGATGTGTAGGGGACTATCTCTCCTGTTGCAGAGTCCCAAGATGGAGGTGAGGGGGCAGGGAGAGCCCCATGATGGTTGATGGAGGTCCACCAAGGAGTAGCAGCTGGAGATCCTGCACGTGGGTAACTGCCAGATGTCCTGCGTGGTATCTGCATCCAGATTTCTGCTTGGGTGGGTAGTGGAAAGTTTTGTACAGGTGCTGATGCTGATGGTCCCGCTGGGGTACCTGGTAGTCCTGCATGGGCGAGTAGTTGGGAGACCTACTCTGATGCTGAGGCCTAGAGCCCTGCACAGTGGCTGTGATTCCTGTGAGGAGGCAGAAATATCGCTCATAGAGAAGCAATATTCTCACTTCTTGAGTCCCAGGTCATAGAGCAACACAGAATGCTGCCTCCCTCTAGCAAATCTTGCATCCTTCTTCCTCCATTCTTGCACTGAATTTTTTATTGTTGAACAGTAAACTTCTTTATCTTTTTTGTTTTTTGTTTTTATTTTTTTGTTTTTGGGTTTTTTTTTTGTAAACTTTCTTTTAAAAGAAGATATACAGTTTCATATAGAGACAAAAACTTCATCTGAGAATTTATAATTTAATGACTCATATTTTTATTTGTTTACTGTCCTACTGTTTTAATAAGTTCTTCGTCTGATATTTGCATATATGGTATTTCTATTCTTTCTTTGCATTCCTACAATTTACTTTTATAAATATCAATTCTACAAAACAGTTTTATAAATATCAACTACTGGACAAGGAAAATGTTACTGTTGGTTGAGCTATTTTATCTAAATTACTGGAAAAAATACAAGGGAACTGATTTAGAAGTAAATATAGATTCATCTTAACTTTTAGAAACTTGTAATTAGTTAATTTCTAGTATAATTTAATAAAGCTGTTCTTATTTTTTAGGAAAACCTAAAGCTATAAATTTAGGCAAAAAATCTGTTGAACTTCCAGGTCTTCTGCCTTTTGTGACCTCTGCTTATATAAAGTCTAGCCATAAAGGTAAAAGAATCACTACAATTTAGATATATGAAATGAAAGTATATATTATATTCCCATTGTCTTCATTTACTGGTATCCTCAAACCTGTGTGCTCCTTTCACCAGCCAACCAATATTGTAAGTCAATCATGTTTTCTAATATTTTTCCTATTAAAAAATGTATGTATAGAAGGTTTTGTGGTTCTGTATAATAATAGGCTCATATATATGGAGCCTCTTTGCCTCCAACCCAGGTAAATTGCCAGACTTCTTTCATTTCTCCCATCTTTAATGTGCTACATGGTATTCTAAACTGTGAATATGTCATACCTTATTCAACAGTTTCTTAATATTTATACTTTAGAGCTTTTCTACTACAATCGATGGTTAACAAATATCATTGTATACATACATTTATATTATGGTATTTTTCCATAAAATGAGCTTGTAGGTAGGATTATTTCATTAATAAGATGCTGTCAAATACTTTTCAAAATGATTATAGTTAATAAGTATGCTAGTAAATTCATAAAGGGCCTATTTTCTAGATCTTAGTCAACATTAGAATTTCAATGGATTGAAAATATAAACAATATCAAGCAATATTGTTAAAATTACCTTATTATACAAAGGGACTTAAAGATTCAGTATGATCTCTAAAACTTTCAAAGCCTTTTTTCCAGAAATAGAGAAGTTCATTCTAAAATTTATATGGACTCTTTAAAGGACCACAGTAGTCAAAATAATCTTGAAAAAGAAGTATGATGAGTCATACTTTATAATTTCAAAAGTTACTATAAAGTTGCATAAAGACACATAGATGAATAGAATATCATATAGATTTTAGAAATAAATTCTCACATATATGCTCAAGTAATTTTAACAAGTGTGCCAATACCACTGAATGAGTAAAAGAAGGTCTTTACAAGATATGTTTCTGGGGAAACTAAGTATCCACATACAGAAGAATAAAATTGGACCATTACCTTACACTATACACAAAAATGAACTCAAAATAAATCAAAGAGCTACAAGTAAAAGCTAAACTATAAAAATCTTATAAGAAAACTTAGTAGAGAGCCTTTGTAATATTAGATTTGGAAATGTTATCTTGGATTGATACAAAAGACAATCAAAAAAGAAAAGTATATACAAAGTTTACCAAAATTGAAAATTTTTTCTCATCAAAGGATAACGTCAAAGGTAACATCAACAGTAAAAAGGCAACTCACAGAATTGGAGGAAACATTTTAATATTATATATCTGATAAGGGATTAATATTCAGAGATATATTAATAGAGATTTCCTAAAACTCAACATAAAACTCAAAAACTGAACAAAGTACTCATGATACACATATCTTCAAATACACAAATAGTCAACAAGTATATGAAAAATAGTCAGCCTCACTAATAATAAGGGAAATACAAATAAAAGGTTGCACTAATCATTAAAATGGCTATTGATAGGAAGGAAAGAATAAGAAAAAGAGAAATGGATGATGGGAAAGAAAGAAGAAAGTAAAAGAGAAAAAAAATTTTGGGAAGGATGTAGAGAAATAAGATTTGTGTGCTGATGGTAGGAATGTAAAATGGTACAGCTGATATGGTGATTCTTCAAAATAGTAAAATAGAGTCACCATATTAACCAGAAATTTTGCTTCTGAATATATATACTCAAAAGAAGAATTAAAACATGTGACATGAGACCCACCCACACTGGCCTCTGCAGGGCCCAGGCACTCAGCATGCCTGGTCCACTCCTCCCCCTGTGGGGCAGAGACCACTAGAGCCTAGCCTTTGGCACAAGACCTCCCCTTCTGACCAGCAAACTACCATGGGAGGTCAAGCCCAGCAGCCTGGATACACTCACACCAGCTTCTGCGGGGGCCCAGGCGCACAGCCAGCTGGCTCCACCCCTTTCCCAGTGGGGCAGACACTCACCAGAGCTTAGCTCTGCCCCCTCTGAGCAGAAGACTATTGTGGGAGCTGAGATCCAACCCAGATTGCCCACATCAGGCCATGTGTGATCCAGGATCTCAGTAGGCATGGTTCCCCTCTCCCCTCAGTGGGGCAGACACTTGCCAGAGTCTAGCCTTTGGTACAGGACTGCCCCTTCTTACCAGCAGACTACCAAAGGAGGTCAACCCCAGTGGCCCAGATCTACCCACTCCAAATTATGCAGATCCCAGATCCAGGATGCAGTAGCATCCATTGAGGGACACCAGCACAGTCTAGAAGTCCAACATCAAGCTGAGGTACAGACAATCTGTAAGGGTACTATAAGAATATAGGGAAGAAACTATAATATCTAAGATCCACACTGAAAGAAAATAAGACACATAGACAACATGAAAAGACAAGGGAGGAAAATGCCCCTAAATAAACCAGAACACTATAATAACAGAACCTGTGGACAGTGAAGTTGATGAAATGTTGGAGAAGGAATTCAGAAAGTTCATAATTAAAATAATCTATGAATTAAATAATGACCTAAATGAGCAAATACAAGCAAAAATTGATCAATTCAGCAATGAGATAAGAGCAAATACAGGTATCAAAAGATTAATTCAAGGGTCTGGGGATGTGGCTCCAGTGGTAGCACGCTTGCCTAGCATGTGTGAGGCACTGGGTTCGATTCTCAGCACCACATAAAAATAAAATAAAGATATTGTGTCCACCTAAAATTAAAAAATAAATATTTAAAAAAGAGATTACTTCAAGAATCTCTTGAAAAAAAAACAGAAATCCTTGAAATGAAGTATACAATAAATCAAATAAAAAACTCAATAGAAAGCATAACCAACAGACTAGATCACCTAGAATAAAGAATGTCAGATAATGAAGACAAAGTTTACAATCTGGAAAATAAATTTGACCACACAATGAAGAAAGTTAGAAACCATGAACAGAACATCCAAGAATTATGGGACAGCATCAAAAGACCAAATCTAAGAGTTATTGGGATAGAGGAAGGCACAGTTTCAAACCAAAGGAATGCACAATCTCTTCAATGAGATAATATCAGAAAATTTCCCAAGCATGAAGAATGAATTGGAAAACCAAATACAAGAGGCTTACAGGACACCAAATGTACAAAATTACAACATATCTACACCAAGGCACATTATAATGAAAATGCCTAGCATAAAGAATAAGGACAAAATCTTAAAAGCCGCAAGAGAGAGGAATCAGATCACATATAGGGGAAGACCAATTCATATCTCAGCAGATTTTTCAACCCAGACCCTCAAAGCCATGAGATCATGGAACAACATATACCAAGCTCTGAAAGAAAATGGATGCCAACCAAGAATCTTATATCCAGCAAAACTGAGGTTTAGATTTGATGATGAAATAAAAATCTTTCATGATAAACAAAAGTTAAAAGAATTTACAACTAGAAAGCCTGCACTACAGCACATCTTCAGCAAAGTATTCCAAGAAAAGGAAATGAAAAACAATGATGAAAATCAGCAGAGGGAGGGATTACACTAAAGGAAAATATAACCAGAAGAGAAACCAAGTCATGTTAAATACCAAAAATAAACAAAAATGGCTGGGAATACAAATCATGCCTCAATAGTAACCCTGAATGTTAATGGCCTAAACTTACCAATAAAAAGACATAGTCAACTAGCAGAGTGGATCAAAAAAAAAAAAAGGCCCAACAATATGCTGCCTCATAGAAAAAGACATCCACACACTGAAGGTGAAAGGTTGGGAAAAATCATACCATTTACATGGACTGTGGAAGAAAGGATAAAGAAGAACACCACAAACTGCTCAACGGAACCATACACCAACAAGACTAAATATATATGCCCCAAGTTCAAGAGTCAAATAGACCACAACAATATCATCACTAGATAGATCTTACAAACAAAAGCCGAACAAAGAAACTGTAGAACTCAATAATATAATCAATAACTTAGACTTAACTGACATATATAGAATATTTCTCCCTTCAATGAGAGAATATACTTTCTTCTCAGCAGCAATGGATCCTTCTCTAAAATATACCATATACTATGCCACAAAGCACCTCTTAGCAAATATAAAAAAGAAGAGATTCTACCCTGCATTCTATCAGGCCATAATGGAATGAAATTAGAAATCAATGATAAAAGAAGAAATAAAATCCCCTCCAATACCTGGAGACTAAATAATATGCTACTGAATGAACAATGGGTTACAAAAGACATCAGTAAGGAGATGTAAAAAGTTTTAGAGATGAAAAAGAACACAGATACAGCATACCAAATCTCTAGGACACTATGAAAGCAGTTCTAAGAGGAAAGTTCATTGCATGGAGTTCATTCCTAAAAAGAAGAAAAAGTCAACAAATAAATGACTTAACACTACATCTCAAAGTCCTAGAAAAAGAAGAACAAATCAATAGCAAAAGCAACAGAAGACAGGAAATGATTAAAATCAGAGCTGAAATCAATGAAATTGAAACAAAAGAAACAATTGAAAAATTGACAAAACAAATAATTGGTTCTTTGAAAAAATAAGTAAAATTGACAGACCCTTATCCATGCTAATGAAGAGGAGAGAGAAAACTCAAATCACTAACATACATGATGAAAAAGGAAATATCACAACAGACACTATAGAAATACAGAAGATAATTAGAAATTATTTTGAAACCTGTATTCTGATAAAATAGAAATAATTGAAGGCATCAACAAATTTCTAGAGTCATATAATTTGCCCAAATTAAATCAGGGTGATATACACAATTTAAACAGATCAATTTCAAGTAACAAAATAGCAGACACCATCAGAAGTCTACCAACTAAGAAAAGTCCAGGACCAGACAGATACACAGCCGAGTTCTACAAGACCTTTAAAGAAGAATTATCACCAATACTTTCCAATTCATTTCAGGAAATAGAAACAGAGGAAGCACTTCTATTAGCCCAATATCACTCTGATTCCCAAACCAGGCAAAAACACATAAAAAAAAGAAACTTCAGACCAATATCTCTAATGAACATAGATGCAAAAATTCTCAAT